CCGAAGATTTTGAGTCTTATCCCCTTGGGGGTAAGCGTATGCCCACTTTCTCCGCAATGCCTGCCCTCAAATTCAAATATCTTCTTTTATTAGAAAGTGAAAATTAGACAACACTTTTAAAATTAAACCCATTGTCTATCAACAGTTGATACACATTTTCTATTCTAATGCGACCTGTCTCTAGAATGAAGCTAGAACCCATACCAAGAGTATTCGCTCTTATATTATGAGGTAATTCATCACCATTGATGTTTTTACCATAGCTAGAGACCTTGGTCTAGGCCTTATAGGGATTGATAATGAGCGTAAAATCGTTACCTCTTTCCTTCAAACTAACTTGAGTGCTAGTCTCCTTGACATTCATGAACGTTTCCATCATTTGTTTATCTCTTGGTGGTTTCAACCATCTGGAGGTAAATATTCTACCATCTGCAACATTGACATTTGGTGGCTTTATTGTTTCCAAAATAATAAGTGGATAAACTTTGCTCAGATTTTATTTGGGGAACTTGTTGGCACCGTCAACAATATTCCTTCAAAGTGAGTTGAATCCCTTGTCTATGGTTACCTTTTGAACCATATGCTTATCAAAGCTAATATCGATGTTTCCCTTGATCATGTGATTCCCTTAACCTCCTTCACTGACCTTAAATCTCTTCGAAAATCGAGATGGGAAGAAGTCAGAAACAAGTGAAAATGAAAAGAGAAGTAAGCTATTGGTTCTTCCTCTAGAGCAACCCAACCTCAGGATGACAATCTGATACACGATGTAGATGATCCGGTAAATCGTGTTCCTGTCGATCCCCCTTGAGTCGGTGGTGAGGATACGAGTGATGTTCTTCCTTACTTCTAGACATTCATGGAGATGATGAATATGATGTTTTCCACCATAGAGTCTCACTTCACAGCTTTGGGGACTCAGGTTTCTGATATTGGTGCTAGACAGTTATCTTTGGAGGCGATGTATGTGGATTCCCGAAGTGACTTTCATGCTAGATTTGACAAGATGACAGATAGGATCGACGCTGTTTCTTGCGACTTTGCTTCCTTCCATGCTCCTTCTTCGGATTATGATCCTCCTTTGTTGGATGCCTGATTGCTTTTCCTTGATTGAATGTTTTCTATTTGCTCATGCTCGGTCTTGCATTTTGACTATTTAGATTCCTTTACGCTTTTGGATAATATGCTTTGATACTTTGATGCTCGAATATTTGGATGATTTTGGATTTGGATGTTATTTTTCCTACTTTGCTTTTGGATTTGGATGTTATTTTTTCTACTTTGCTTTTGGATTTTAATATTTTATGTACATAAATGATTTTTATTTAATATTTATGTTATTTTGGATTTTTATTATGGTTTATAATGTTTGATGTTTGAGACATGTTTTACTTTATGACCATTATAATTGCGTAAGAATATTATTTGTGTTGAATAATCTCTTTTGGCATATTTAATCTTCACCGCTTGTGTTTATATTCTGTTTAAACTTTTTGATTTAACAAAAAGGGGGAGAAATGTTAGAGTAAGGGGGAGTACATTTTAAAAATCTTAAAATTTTTCAAAGGTTTTGTTATATAAAAAAAAGGGAAGATTATTGAACCATGCTTTGAAATTTTGATATACCAAAAGTAAATAAGTTTAAAGAAATTTTAAGATTATTTTTAAATTCAAATTTTCAAGCTTATATTTGATTTAACCATTCGAATATAAAAATTCCTTTTAAAGTCAAGAACTTCATCTTTACTCCTTACTTTTTTTTTTTTGAAAAACTCAAGTCATATACTGTAAATAATTTTCAAACATTTTACAAAGGGTTTCGGATCTTAATCGAGTCAAAAATCAATTTTTAACTCTAGAGTACCGATACTAATATGTAAAATGTAATATAGTATTGATACTGGTGCCGATACCAATGTGTAAAATTACACCTAAGTATCGATACTGGTACCGATAATTCCTTTATGGTTTTGAAAAACATGATTCCAATAGACTATTTTCGTACTAATACTCTCGGAGTATCGTTACTCTAAGTGGGTATTGATACTCTGCTCTCACCAATAACTAGATTTTTGTAATTAATGCAGGTAGTACCGATACTCCAAGCCCAATTATCGGCGTTCAAGGCGTATGGGCAACATCTATTGCGGGAAAATTTATCCCAAACGACTCTATTAACTACCAAAACAACCCACACTACTAGAATTGAATGAAGGGGGTATAAAAACAAGATTCCAAGTCATACGTGAAGACAAAATATCATAGAGAAAGGCAAACCAATCATATTGGGCCAAAATCAAGTCAACATTCTTTAATATTCTTTTTACTTTCAAAGAACAATTTTGTACTCATTTGTTTCATTTTGTCGAGTGTTCTTATTTGTTCTTGAATTGTGCAAACACATTCCTAGTGAGGTTTTTATAAATTTGTTATTTGTAATTTATTCTTAGGAAGGTTTGTGCACTTGAGACTTTGGGGTATAAGACTAGGTGTGTTGTAAGGTTACACATTGTCCTAAAAGGTTTGAACAAATTAGTGAATTTGTTCAAATCCTTAGTGTGAAAGCTAAGGTAGTGGATGTAAACTTCATTGAAGAAGTTGAAGCACTCTAAAATTGCTTGTGTCACTTTTCTTAATTTTCTTGCAAAAAGCTTCCATCAAATTTTATTTGCCAATTCACCCCCATCTTGGCTATTTCATTGGTTTGATTGACTCAACAAATATCCTTGTGTTTTTGTGGTGGGTTTACTTATCGTTAGATTAAAATTCGTAATTGTGGTCATATATGTATAATATATAATATTATCATAAAATATGACATAAAATTAAATCATTAATTATGTTATATGTATCATAAGTATTAAAGTGTAGATATAATAAATTGTATTTGTAATTTGATGATGGATATAATAATAAATACTAAATAGAATGATCTAATATCCATTATTTATAAAGAGGTAGTGTTCCCCAAAAAATAAGTTAACTTGCATTACTCTTATCTCCGTCAAAGAATTTAACGGTAAGTAGGGCCGACCCTGGACCAAGGCAGGAGGGGTGCCTGCCCAGAGTCCATAAATTAAAAAATTCTTAGTATAATATTTTCTCTTATTTTCTAATAATAAATTTAAAAAACTATAAATAAAATATTGTGCTTATAAGTTTATTAAAATTTCAATTTTTCATTATTGAATTCTTATATTAATGTTAATAAAATGTTGAACTTCTCATAAAACTCTAATTTAATATTTCTTTTCTAAAATAAAAAAAAATCAATTGAATCTCTTTAATTTTGATTTTTTTTCAAATTCCCACTATTAATTAACCAAATCTCTTTCCCGATTTTATATATCAATAGTAAAATTTTATTAACGCTGTTTTTTTCTCTTAAAAACTCATTGAGTGGAGAAAATAAGTATGATTAGCACGATTCTTTTCTCTTCCATATTTCACAATTCATCTAAAAAAATTATTATTCTTACTTTTTAATTTTTCATATTTCTTACAAACACAAAGTCACAATTGTTTATCATCAATTGTGGTCCTTGAATCATGTTAAAGAATATTCTTAAAATTCTAGGTAAGATCATGTTTTTAAATTCGTCTTTTGATTTTTTATATATTTTCAAATTCTAGATATCATCTTTCTTTTATTTTCAAATGTTATGTATTAAGAAAAATATGTTGGAAATCATTGATGTTGACACTATCATCAATTATTTTGCATCAAAAATACTTAAACGTAATGTTTTTTTATAAGTATTTATATGCTTAAATATATTTTTGACATTTTTTATATTATAATAAATTACTATTTGTTTAATTTAATAAAATATTATGATAGAAATTTTATATTACATATTTTTTAAATTTCTTTTGAATTATGTGTCCATTTTTTATTTTCGTCCCAAGACAAAAAATAGTCAAGATCGACCCTGACGGCAAGAGCAAATTTATCTTCTTGGAATAACACAACCAAAGAGATACTCAAGAATTTCAACCTATCGATTAATTAAGATATGTTTTCACATCAATTTTTTATTTTTAACAATTTGAATTGATTTGATCATAATTATTTTCATATTTTCTGTAACCTGATTCTAAAATTTATATGTTAGTATGAAGGACTTAACATTAAGGATTTTTTTTTATGGATTTGTGTTTATGCCCTTTTCTTTTTTAGCATGCATCTTCTAGTATCTCAATTGATTGATTTAAAATAATAATTACCAACCCCTCGGGCACTCTCATTTGTGAGCATGACAATTTTTAAAGGTACAATGTTAAAAAATATTCATATCATTTAACTAAATAATAATTTTAATATTTATTATTTTTAGATTATATTAGTTTAACATTTTATTTTAAATTAGAAAGATCTCTAACGTTTGATTAAATATTTACCATAATATTTGTATTCTTTTTGGAGTAATTTGACGTCTTAACGTTTCATTTTAAGACAAAAATCCTAATGTTAAAGCGTTAGTCGTTTGTTGACTATTAATTTTCTTTTATAAAATTATTTTTATCTCAAAATAAAACATTAAAACTAAAATACTCTAATAAAAAACAAAAACAACTATATAATCAGACCTTAAAAATATTTATTTATCAGTATGCCTTTCTTAATTAAAATTTCCATCCTTTCTCCCCAATAACGTCCTCTGTTTCTTAAAATTTTGTTTCTCTAACTGGGCTTTAGTTGAAGAGTACTGCAAGACCAACTCCCATATTTTTTGGGTATTAGGAGGCCTGCTTCCAGTCGTGGTGGATCGCAATGGGGAGTTGACTTGGATTCAAATGCATGTGTGACGCTATTGGAATTTCGAACCCTCGTGGGCTACTTTTCTTGTGCCGACCTCGGTTGTTAGCTCGTGATCCGTTACACATGTCTCCAACCAACCTTGTTTTTCACGACTACTGCATTATACCTGTTTTCTTCTATTAGTATTCTTCCCCACCTTTTCATCGTCAAACTGTGTTTGGGTTTATTTTGAATTTTCTTTTCCGACTCAAAAAATAGTTTAATTCATCCCCTCTTGCAGATAGCATTGAAGGCCAGATCGTATCTTATCTTTGACTTAATATGGCTATTGATCGCAAAGGTAATCCCTCTCGGATTCGCCTTCTAGTTTCCATTGTTTTCTTTTTAGCCTTCATTAGCGGTTTATATTTCCTGTCTTTTTGTAGGAAGAGCTGTCGTGATTATGGGAGTTAGTGGCGCTGGCAAAACGTAAGCCCCCCTTGTTTTCGCTTTGTAATTTCTCATTCATGATTGAAAGCTGAATCTAGGAATTATTCTTTTTTTTCTTCTTTTCTTTTCAAGTATATGTGGAATAGAAAAGGTTATATATTGATTTAGTCCATTTTTATCTTCAATTTTTTTTGGTGGAATAGCATCTTAACTCTGTTAATTTAAATATTAGTCAAAGAAGTCCATTCTCATCTAATTTTCAGATTTAGATACTTAATAAACCTCTCAATAATTGATCCTAACTTCATCTCGGTTCTTATGCACTGTTTTCCTGTCTTAGCTTTCCGGTAAATTTAGGAAAGGCAAGAAATACCATCGTTTTTATGATACATCTTGTTTTACTTGTTTATAACTTTTCATCTCTTCACCAGATCAAAAGAACCCTCTATACTCTTCACCCAATTTCACATCATTTCCCCTACAGGTGTACCTTTTTATCAACTTAGAAGAGGTATGAATAGAGTGCATTATAGGTGAAGTAGACATACATTCTTGTACCAGGACGGACGCAGTATCTTATTTTAGGGGATGAAGTTCTAAAATTTTAAGAGGGAGCAAATTTATAAAATTCTAGAAGAGCGAAAACACATTATCAATTAGAAATTCAAAACATATCTAAAATATATATTAATTTAGAATTTTCAGGGACAACTACCCCGATCCATCTATGCTCTTGTTAATTATTCACGGCTATGTCCGATTAGCTTGTTTCTTCAAAAAAAAAAAAAGCATCTCTTGAGATAATAATTAACCATTATGAGGCGAACAATTGTCTATTTCCATCTTTGATAAAAAGCTCAAGAGAATGTATTGTATTGAGCATCTTAAGGTGCAGATCTGGAATGGCATTAATGTTGCCCGTCATTCTATCACCATATTATTATTTTCATTTATGGGGTTTTAAGATGTTCATGTTAGCAATCATTGGTCTAACTGTTGTTTGAATTGATCATGTGGAGTTGATAGTTTTATTATTGATGGAGAATGGCATTACCATGTTATGCAGTAAAAAGGTTTTGCTTTGATTCAGTCTTTCAACTAGAACTTTTCCAAAAGTTTGATTATTTCTTGGTATTGCTCTTATTTTAACTTGATTCCCCTATGCCATTTTTGATGATGTTGTAGTTCATGTAATATACATATACATATACATATACATATACATATACATATACATATACATATACATATACATATACATATACATATACATATACATACATATACATATACATATACATATACATATACATATACATATACATATACATATACATATACATATACATATACATATACATATACATACATATACATATACATATACATATACATATACATATACATATACATATACATATACATATACATTTTGATGTTGATTTTAGTGGAATCTCTCACACCTATGTCCGAGTAGCATAGATACTTTGTACAGGTAACAATATGATCAACCTCTTCTACTTCGTGTGTATAACCAGCACAATAGGTGACATGTTGGCCAAAGTTTTGAACTGTAGCTTTCTTGATGCTGATGATTTCCATCCACTGTCAAACAAAGGTAAGTTTAGACATGGCTATTGAGCATGAATCACAGTTTTTCTCTTCATATATTAAATTTGTTACTGCCTTTAACATTTATATCCATTTAAATACACAGAAAAGATGAGGCAAGGTATTCCCCTCTCAGATGAGGATCGAATTCCTTGGCTAGAAATGCTACGGGATGTCCTAAAAGATAAATTAGAAGATGGAAAAACTGTGATACTTGGGTGTTCTTCACTGCAGAAACATTACAGAGAAATTCTAAGATCCGCCGATGCGGATTACGTTCTTGGGAGCTATGCTGGTAGGGTGCAGTTTGTTCTATTGGATGCGCAGGCCAATGTTCTTGCTGCTCGGCTCGAGAAACGAGCCGCGGAAGGGAAACATTTCATGCCGGCAGCACTTCTGCAATCACAACTAGAGTTGCTTAACATAGATGAAGGTGAAGGGATATTCAAAGTCGACGCCACCTTAAGCCCTCTGGTGATCGTAAGCAAAATACAAGCATTTTTGCACTCTAATTCTGATCAAATCATCGATGAACAGTCCACCGGGAATAAGGATTTTTAAAGAAGTTGAGAATTTCTTGAGTTGCAATTGCATCATAATTCACAGTGCAATAACAAATGTAATTTATTAAAAATACTATAGTTACTATTATCCATTTTTTTTCATGTTACCAAATGTTAAATAATTAAAAATGTAATGTCTGGAATTTTTATTAAAGAAAAATTAATATTAAACTAAAATAATTAATAAAATACTTTACTATTATAAATAATTTATTCTGTTTTCCTCAAGTTTCTTTTCACGCAATATTATAAATTTGATATAAACTAAAATAAATTTGATAAAAATATTATAATTATTTCATTAAATAAAAAATTAGAAACACTCCCTCCCCTTCTTCAACATTTAAACTTACTTTAAAAACCATCAATTGAAATTTTAATGTTTCAATTTATCACCAATCGAACATTTTAGGATGGATTTGAGCACTGGAAATGCTGTTAAATGTCAATTAAATTAGTTATACTAGCCCCGAGTATTTTGTTTCATCCTCGATTTAACGATGTTGATCGTATCATAATAATTATGAAGATCCATTCCAACGATACCAACCAGTAAATTGATGAAAAATCCAGTTTTGTTTGACAGAAAGAGCAAACACGGTTCCACTGTCATCATCTCTGATCAAAATCTAGAAAACTTATTAGTTTCTATAATTTTCTACTCTCCTTTAGATATATATATATAATTCATTTTTTATTAGAAAAATAAAGATCTAATTAAAAAAATTTAACATAAAAGCAAATATTATTATATTTATCCTTAAATATATAAAAAATAGTCATAATATTATGTCGGGTTAGATTGAGTTAGATTTTTTTCATCCTAAACTCGATCCAAACTAGAATTTGCCATATGCTCCATCTCAACTAGACAGGTAAACGAGCTGAACGTTCAACGAACTGTTCGATGAGAAGTTCGTTTATTTATTAAATGAACAAACATGAACAATATTTTATGTTTGTTTAATTAAATAAACGAATCCAAACAAAGGGCTTGTTCGTTCATTTATATTCGTGAATGTTCGATAATTCATTCGTTTATTTTTGTTCATTTACGATCGTAAGCGTTCAATAATTCGTTTGTTTATATTCATTCATTTATATTCTTTTATATTCGTTTATTTAAGTTCATTTATGTTCGCTCATTTATATTTAGCTCAATCTTTAGACATGTTTAAACTATTAAAACATAATAAATTTTAACCTTAAATCCATTAATATTTTAAAACTTAATTAACTTTAAACCCAAATAAAAAAAATACTCAAACCTAGTCAGGAAAATATAAATCCTAAAATTATTTGGAAAAAAATATCTTCTCAAATATAAACCCAATTAATTTTATGTTAGTTCGTTTATGTTCGTTCGTTTGTGTTCGCTTATGTTTGTTTATCATTTTAACGAACAAACATGAATAAACAAGAACAATGACAGATCCATTGAGAGTTGAGGGTGGGCATGTGCCCACCTTAAAATCTGAATTTTCTTTGATTAGTTACATATTTTACTGATGGTGCCTGCTTTGAAATTTTATTGTACCCACCCTGAAATCTGAATTTTCTTATTAGTGACTTATTTTATTGATAGTGTCAACACTGAAATTTTATTTATACCTAGCTCATTTAAAAATTTTATATTGTTAACATGTTTGTGTCCACCCTCAAAAATATTTTTGGATCCCCCACTGAACACGAATAAGCTACATTTATTAATGAATGGACATGAACAAGAAATTTTATTCGTTTAGTTGTTCGTGTCGTTCGTTTATTCGATTGAAATTAAACAAATGAACATACCCTCATTCGTGTTCGCTCGTCCACAGACAATCTCAATGTTAAATGTTCTCTATTTTAATGCATTATTATTTTTTCACCATAGAGTATTTTACATTTTCTTCATATTATATAACTGTATCTAATATTTTCAACCCTTACAGAACTAATGAAATCTTAGAAATATCTGCTAGGAAACTCGATCTTATTCTTCCACAAATTTATCCTTCTTCCTCAATTTGAGCATTACCCATTCAATCTGTCTGCAAAGATTTTATAGGAAAGCTTAATTATAATGAAATGTGCAGAGATTCCTACCCTACCTGGACCTGGTTTACATAGTAATTGGGGGAAACAGATAATAAAAGAAAGAACTGAGAACATGTGCCAACTTTGTATATGATTTCATACAAGAAAATGTGTTATAAACACAAAAGGGAAATGGTTTGGTTTTAGTCAGTGTAATGAAAATAATACAAGTTTCTGTTGGTTGTGTAATCATGTAAGGTTTAGATGATTCATATTTCATAAGGCACCGCAACAGCAATACCATACCTGTCCCAAACACATGCGCTTCCACTGCTGCTTTGAAGCAGAGCACAATGTCCCCATCTGCTCTTCCTGTGATATGAAAATGTCCGCCAACGGTTATTGTGAAATCTTCTCCATAAACTACGCCATTGATTCATATCAGTAAGCAAAAATAGTTAGCATTACCTCTTGTGAACACAGTTTTGCGACTTCCTCTACTCACACTTGATACAGCGGTAAATGTGACGAACAAAAAACAGAGATGCAAGGAAGCCAATGGCACCAAGCACGAGGAAGAAGCCATAGCAAATGCAAGCCATGTAGCCAAAGAAGAATGAGGTTTGCATGAAGCCTGACATGTCTGATCGCTCATAGTAGTAAAATAAACGGTAGGCATATATGAACAACCCAATTGACCCACCACAAAGGAAGGACCTAAAATACCAACGAAAATGTAAGTTTAAGACCAGCCGATTAATGAAAAAGGTGGTGTGCCATACACGGTACATGAATGTCAATTAATGATAAAAAAATTCATATTAATAATTCTACAAATGACACAAGATTGACAGAAAATGATAACTTGTTGTTTGTAACATTATTTGCACGTGTCTTTGCATAAAATACATGTTGAAAACAGTGGCGGATCTAGAAATTAAAAAATAGGGGTCCAAAATTTTAATGCTCATATTCTAAAAATTTTGGGTATGCAATTTTTTTTTATTTTTTTCTATTTTCATTAACAAATTAAATTAAATTTAACACTTTTATCAAAATAATAGGTGTGCAATGGCTCCCTAGGGAGCCATATACATCCGCCCCTGGTTGGAAAGAACTCGGATTCCAGAAACAAACTCCTGTGAAGTTATGACGAGCGTGATAATCAAGCAGCCAGAACATTTCGTTGATTCAAAGTAGGATGCCACATTTTAGAAATAACCACTGTGATTCATACACAAGAAGCGAGGACAGTGGAAAACTGAAATAGTTGTTCGGTGACTAACTGATTCTAGAGTTGGGTACATCTATCACAAGCTTGGCAAGCATGATATCCATGTTCTATCATTAATGGGAGTGATAAATCAAGTATGGCATAAGCCCTTATGAACCTACTCATATTAATGCTTCACTAATTTATGTACTTGTTTTTCTAACATAAATCCAGTAGAACCACAAAGGTATATTTTCTCAAGTCCCATTGCCTCAGTCTCTCGGGTACAACCCCTTCTCTCCCTTAAGTATGAATCTATTTGGGTGCATGCATGCAAATGTGCACTTATGTTTGCAACAATTGCATGCAACAATGTGCACCTATGTGTGGGTGAGAGAGTGAGGAGGAGAGAACAAGCTAACAGGGAGAGCTTCGACATTGTTGCCTGACATAAGAGGTTTTCTAAGGCATATTGTTATGCCAACCATATTAGTATTTTTGTTCTTCCAAATTGGGCTTCAAACAAGTGGTGTGGTTTAAGGAGAACACCAAGAAGAGTTTTACCTTAGAAAATCCATTGAACTAGGAGTTCACTGAACCAGAAATTTCTAATCAAAATTTGGCTTAACAATTTGTATCAAAAGAATAAAATTTTTTGGCTTAACAAATTCTACTTGCCTATTAGCAGATCATACACCTAACTTCAATTAAACGGCTTAAACCCTTTCAAGAAAAAAGTATATAAAATTCATACTAAATAAACATGGATTTGCTCAAGGAAAGCTTTAAAAGGAAAGAATCTAATTCATATTCTTAAACTTTTCATTACATTATCAGAAAGTAGCTTGCTATATCTGTATCATACTTAGTATGATAGTATCAGTACTCTGGAGACCAATTGCATATGTACAAAAAGCTTATCAACTACATAGTAGACAATTGCATCACTTAAACTCTTGCAACTTCAGTTGGGTTTCTTATACATTGTTTCAAATTGTACAAATGGGAAAAAAAGGTCAATTATTAAAAGGGTATCAACATTGGCCCATATATCACAAGAAATTATGCATGCAATAGATGAAACACAAATATGGCACACATGCATCAACAAACAAACCAAGAATACTTGAGCTCATCAGAGCAACAATATGGAAATAAAATATTCTTCAACCAACCATGCATATATATTCATATATTATTTTTGTGCCCACTTGTGAATGCATGAATTTTTTTATATATGCAATGTTAGAACCCAAAAACAACATACCTCCCCCACCATTCATGGTCTTCAGTAGCAAGTTGAAAATAAGTTAAAGCCACAGTAATAAAAGCAATGACAATCAAGAGAATGATAAAGAAAATAAGCAGGATGTTGTAAATGGTGTAGATTCTATGTCCCCACACGCTTAATACATAATAAAGCTCAAAATAGATGGCACTGAAAGACAAGAACCCTGCCATTGCCATCTGAGGAAGAGTTCTCCTGTACCAAGGCAACTGTGGGATCTCTCTAGGACACCTTATGGTGTGACACGGGGCTTCAAACTCTGCCTTGCTATTCTTTCCAACAATACCTCATAATACTAATAAAGGACATGTAGCCAGACCCCATATAAGAAAAATCACTACAATGGTTCCAAATGGCAATGCTGCAGTGACTTTATAAGCAATTACGACGGTGTTAATGTTGGGAAATAAACCTAGTACAAGTAATTTCCTTATAACTAGATTAATGAGAATGTGAAATAAAAGCGGAAAAATAATACCCGAAATTGATAACG